AGATAGAAACAACAGAGGGAAAGGAAAAGAGTAGGACCAGCCAGTGGCGTCCTCCAACCACCCGCGACCTAAATTGTGTCCTCGGTGTGTTAAACATTTACAACCAATCAGGGACGTTTGGTCAGAACAGCCACCTATCGCCATTATGTAAAACTTGCACTTATAATGTGACCTAATTATGTGTCCATTGCTGTAAAACTTTTATTTATTTATCTATTTGTTTGAGTAAAGAGAACCACATAGACACGATAACGACCATATACTGCAGGGAAAAATAAGACTGACAGACAGAATCAAAAGAGGGAAAGTAAAGAAGTAGGGTCTATCACTATCAGTGGAAGCCTCCAACCACACGCGACCTAAATTGAATCGATGGTGTGTTAAATATTTATGACCAATCAGGGGCGTTTGGTCAGAACAGCCATCGATAGCTATAATGTTGCAAATGCCGTAAAACCTTTAGTTTAGTTTTAGTAAGAACTTTAAGGCACTGGCAACACAAAATTTCACATAAGTGCTGAAGATTAGAGGAGGTAAGCAACTGAAGAGTTGAGTAACACACACAAAAACAGGAAGAGAGATTAGGACGACAGATGATTGTTAGGAAAGAAGGAGCAAACCATATCAGAGCACCAAAAACTCTTATTAAAAATATACAAAACCTTTTTTTTTTAATCAGGAGGTATCGGATAAGTGAGTGCCGACCGTAATTCTGTGGTTGGCCTAAACTCCTGCAAGAGAAAGCCAATGTTACGCGTGACTGGGGGAAAGACAAAACGCTAATCACGTGACCGGATGCCTGTTGCTGGTTGGCTGGCTAAGTTACCCCTGTCATGCGCGCGGGAAGGGCCGGGTCAGAAGATCTCCGTTTCTCTCACTCACCGATGTCGGTCCACGCACGTGTGAGATCGATTCTGCCTTTTTCTCACGGTGACAGTTGGCACACCATGGAGCCCAGCATAGCCCCAGAGGTGGAACAAGCGACAGACGGCGCTGGGTTTTTTGTTTTTGATTTTTTGTGTTTTCTTTTGTCGAGATTAGACGTCTTGCCGGACACACCCACTGAGCATAAGCCTACGTGGTGAAGCGGTTAGACGCCTCGCTGTAGCATGCAGGAATCATGCGTTCGATTCCCGGTTTTTAATCTTCAAGTAATTCCGTCCCTCTGACAAAACGTTGCAGCCGTATCCCTCCCAGCCTGGGTTGACCCCAACAGGCAGGGTCGAAGGATCTCACCTCCCAAATGATCTTAGATGGAGGTGTAAAATGTTTACAATTACAATTTACCCACAGAGCCAGTTATCAGGATGGCGAGAAGACGGGGTTTTCCACGGGGTTCTAGCTGGATAAAGGACAGTAGAATCACAACTTCTTGTTCGTTTAAATGTTAGTTTTGAAACGTCCTTCTTTATAAGTTTTAGTAAGAGTTTTACGGCACTTTCAAAACAATAAGGTCACATAAGTGCTGAAAATTAGAGGTGTTACAAGAGAGTAACAAACACACACCAAAAAAAAAAAAACGAAGGAGACGATATATTTTTTTATAGGAAAGAAGGAGCAAACCACACCAGAGCACCCGCCAACCACCCACGAAATTTCCTTCAATTTCCCATTGAACTAAACAGACTAGTGAACCACAGTTGAAGAGAAATGAAGTTATAAGTCTTCAAGCCTTTAAATTTAATTTTCTCAAGGTTTCTATTTTGCGACCTTGACCGCTTTTCCCGAGGACTCCTGAAGTCATAGCGCATTTTACAATTTCAATACGTACGTGAAGAAGTTTAATTGAGAAACACTCGGGGGAAAAGAGAAGAGAATACTTTTTCACTGAAGAAGAACACATCTTTTTAGCGTTAAGTGCTCTAGTGTCCTTAACGTTTTACACGCTGGTTTAATGGAGTTTCTCCCCTTGCCCTGTTCTGAATCTCTACGCCAAAGCTCTTG